GGAAACTATGCAAATAGGTGGGGAAGACTCAAGAGTGTTTGGCAAAAAAGTGTTTTACTGGCAACAACTTTGTATACATTCCTCAACCTACACACAAATCAATTTGAGGTCATTCAAGTTCAAAATGGGCATCATCTGCCCAAATCATTGGCTGACTACTGATCACACAGACACAAGGGTTCCTCTAGGAAGTCAGGCTTAAAAATAAACATAAGAATTAAACAAACATACAAGCCCAGAGCAGAGACATCAATGTTTACTAAGTTACTAAATCTAACAACTTTCCAAAGAACTATTTAGTGGAGTATTAAGATTTTTACTGTAATGTAAATTAAAAATATGGTATCACAAAAACAAAAAAGGAAATACATTATCACAAAAACAAAAAAGAAAAAAGCTGTCACAATATACTATCTAAAGTTTCAAGTTTTCATCCAAAAATTACTAGGAATGTAGTGAAATAGGAAACTGTGGCACAGGAAAAAGGTAAAGGGTAAGCAGAGATGATAGACTTGCCAGTAACTTAAAAATCAACTATTAGAAAATGTTCAAAGAATTAAAAGGAAGACGATGACAGGGAATCTCAACTGAGAAATTGAAATGAAACAAAAGAACAGAAATTCTATAAGCAAATATACTATCAGAAATGAAAGTTTCACTGAAGGAGCTCAACAGCAGGTTTGGATGGAAGGGGAAAGAAACAGTGGAAGACTTTAGATATATAGCAAGCGTGTATTCAAATTTTTTTTTGAAACATTACAAATGAAATCATATGTATTTGTCATCTACAATACAATGCTTTGAAGTATACATATATTGTAGAATGACTAAATCTAGCTAATTAGCATATGTAATACCTCTATAGCTATGGGCTTTGAGGTGAGAACACTTTATATCTACTCTTGGCATCTGTCAAGAATGTATTAACTATAGGCGCCACGGCTCACTAGGCTAATCCTCCGCCTGCGGCGCCGGCACACCGGGTTGTAGTCCCGGTCGGGGCGCCGGATTCTGTCCCGGTTGTCCCCCTTCCAGGCCAGCTCTCTGCTGTGGCCAGGGAGTGCAGTGGAGAATGGCCCAAGTCCTTGGGCCCTGCACCCCATGGGAGACCAGGATAAGTACCTGGCTCCTGCCATCGGATCAGCGCGGTGCGCCGGCCACAGCGCACCGGCCGCGGCGGCCATTGGAGGGTGAACCAACGGCAAAGGAAGACCTTTCTCTGTCTCTCTCTCTCACTGTCCACTCTGCCTGTAAAAAAAAAAAAAAAAAAAAACGGCCGGCGCCGTGGCTCACTAGGCTAATCATCCGCCTGCGGCTCCGGCACACCAGGTTCTAGTCCTGGTCGGGGCACTGGATTCTGTCCCGGTTGCCCCTCTTCCAGTCCAGCACCTGGCTCCTGCCATCGGATCGGCGCAGTGCGCCGGCTGCAGCGCACCAGCTGCGGCGGCCATTGGAGGGTGAACCAATGGCAAAGGAAGACCTTTCTCTCTCTCTCCCTCTCTCACTGTCCACTCTGCCTGTGGAAAAAAAAAAAAAGTAGAGCAAGAATGTATTAACTATAGTCACCATGATACACGAAAGAGCTCTTGTATTTATTCTTGTCTAATTGAAATTTTGTATCCTTTGACTGCTATCTCCCCAACCTCCCACCAAGCCAGCCCCTTGTCACTCCCTTCTATTCTTTTCTATGAGATCAACTTAGTATAAGTAAAGATTTCAACACTTTGCACACACATACACACACACACAGAGTTTGAGAATTAGTTTTACAGTTAACTCTCATAATATAATTCACTGAGGACAGAGGTCCTGCATGGGGAGTTAGTGTACAGTGACTCCTGTTGTTAACAATTAACATTCTTATGTATGACGTCAGTGACCACACAAAGCTCTTTATGGGTGATCCTATGCCTGGCTGGGAGACTGCCTGACTAGTCCATGAAGGAGGCTAAGAAGGGATGGCACAGCATGCCTCTCAGGAAAGACCCTGGTTCGGGGCTCAGGTACACTGAGCGCCATACATAACCTGACTGCTGGCAGGCAGCAGGAGCCCCAAGCACATCCCCCCTGCTTCCTGTTGAAGGGCCTTGTAATTGTAACTCAAATCATCCCTGCTCAAAGTGTCAATTTCACTTCCACAGATTTCATTTTAGGTGCTCTATTAGTTCTCACAGATCAGGGAGAACCTATGGTATTTGTCCCTTTTGGACTGGCTTATTTCACTAAGTATGATGTTTTCCAGATTCATCCATTTTGTTGCAAATGACAAAATTTCATTTTTTTTTTTACCGTTGTGTAGTATTCCATAGTGTACATATCCCAAAATTTCTTTAGCCAGTCTTCTGTTGTTAAGGCTTTCCACTGCATTTTTTATTTGTTCTATTTTCTTCATTTCATTTTGGTTTCTCTTTAAGATCTCAATTTCATGGGGGAAATTTTGTTCATGTCATATTTGGATTTCAGTAGTTCATGCATTTGTTTCTAATTACTTCTATATAATCTTATGATCAATTTTTTGAATTCCAATTCTGGCATTTCTTCAATCTCATCATCTTCACAATCTAGTATTGAAGTGTTGTGTTCTTTTGGGGGCATCATGTTGTCTTCCTTATTTTTGTTTCTTCAATTGATGTTTGTTATTTGGCATTTGTGAAGATACTCATTGATATCTTCTTTGTTTTTTAACTGTGGCAGCTTTTATCTTTGTTCTATGCCTCTGTAGATAAGTGGAGTGTATGCTTTCAGTGAATATCTAGAGGCGTGTGGTGGGTGTGGCTAGGGAGCTCTGTTCAATTCTCCAGGGTGAAGGGAGTGTCCAAGGTGACACATCCTGGTTTGGTGCAATAAATCTTTTTTTTTTTTTTTAATCAAAAGAAGTTTATTTTGCTCAGCTGAGCTTCTCTCCTCAAAGGAGACCAGTGCCTGAGTGCTAGCCCAGTGGGTATAATATTTGTTCACCCTGCCCCATGAACCACACAAAGGATCTTGCAGTCCTCAGTGTAAGCTCAGATTCCCTAGCAATATCCCTCACCAGGTAACCAGGAAGCCCTAAGTGTATGGAGTCTCCCACAGTGACTGCCCGAAGTCCCAGCCACACCATGAGTCCTCCTGCACAGCCTCACTTTTTTTCAGTCTTACAACACAAGCCTCCCAGAGTCATGAGCACCCAGCCCGCTGTGAGTTCTCCCCACTAGAGTCAGAAGTCTCTACTCAACTGCTTGCTGGACGTGGACATGAGCTGGTGTAGCTGTTACGTATGTTCAAATTGGCACCCGCTCTATCAGCTTGTTACAGGGCACTGTTGCAAGGTGACTAGGAAGAAAGAAATGTGTCCCTCCTTTTTTTATTCTTTAGTTTCGGAGGTACACTATCCCCCACGGGGCTCCAAGCCGGATTCCCTATAGGCTCTTCCTGCAGCTTTATCACCAATGGCTTGGGCTGCTATAGTCTAGAGTCTCCAACACTCTCCAATGTAGGCTCTCAGCTGCTGGGGTCCTGAGTTGTGGGTGTCCATGCCCTCCCCACAGGTCCACTGTGTCCCTCTAATTTGCATAGAGTTTCCTTTGCCATTTTCTCCCTAACTCTTTCCTGAGACTGCACTCTCTCCACTTTTTTAAACTATCTTCTCCTAGACTAGAGAAATAAGCTCCCTCCCAACTCCACCATCTTGGAAACTCTTTGAGAAATCTTTCATTCTCTGGTTGGCTCTTGAAATAGCTGAGACAGCCAGGACCAAGCCAAGCCAGAGCCAGGAGTCAAGAAGCCCATTCTGGTCGCCAACATGGGCAGCAGGAGCCTAAGCACTTGGGCCACCTTCCACTGTCTTCCCAGGAGCAGTACCAGGAAACTAGATTGGAAGTGGAACACATGGGCCTCAAACTGGCACTCTGACATGAGATGCTAGTGACATAAGTAGCAACTTAACCTGCTGTGCCACAATGCCATGTGCTACTTTCATGATGTAAAAAGTGATCTAAATATATAACTCCAGGTTCCATTTCCTCTACAAAACATTCCCTGATCAACCAAGCTATTTCTCAAACTCTTTTAAATACTAACCTACTTACCTACTTCCTACCTTTTGTCCTGTATTTACATAATTTGTAATTTTACTTTTTCAATAAATTATGAAGAATCAACTTAAACTTGATACTTTGGGGCCAGTGCTGTGGTGTGGCAGGTAAAGCCACCACCTGCAGTGCTGGCATCCCATATGGGCACTGGTTGGAGACTGCTCCACATCCGATCCAGCTCTGCTATGGCCTGGCAAAGTAGTAGAAGATGGCTCAAGTCCTTGGACCCCTACACCCATGTGGGAGACCTGAAAGAAGCTCCTGGCTCCTGGCTTTGGATTGGTGCAGCTCTGGCCATTGCGGTCAATTGGGGAGTGAACCAGCGGATGGAAGACCTTTCTCTCTCTCTCTCTCTCAGCCTCTCCTTCTCTGTGTAACTCTTTCAAATAAATAAATCTTTAAAAAAAAAAAAAAAAAACAACTTGATACTTTGGTTGCATTTTCCCTTCCCCTTCTTGTCATAAATGAAGTGAGGACACAGGAATCACATCTATAAAAGTGACAGATTTTACTCTTAGAAAATTTCAAGCAAACTACCAAAGAGTTTTTTTATTCAGACATCCCAAATGAACTGCTTCTAGACCAAGTGACCACAAAAACAATAGTATTTGTGAACTACACAGACAAGGCTAGTTTTGGAAAGGAAAACAAATGTTGTAAAAGCAAAAGATACAATAATTAGAAAATTTAAACTACACTATATATACTTATTTCAGCGAATTTTAAATTCCACCTTTGTGATAGTTTCCTTTACCTTACATTGTAGATGTTACTTTGAACCAGCACACTTTTTCCCAATTACTTTAAAAATAGAAAAGAGTAATCTCTGTAGTAAACTGCTGTAGAACTATATGCTTTCTAAACCTAATTACATTGTGTTGTCTAAAAGTTACAATTCAAAATAATAATAAACTTGTCTTCACCTACCTGTAACTTTGGTTCCGATAACTAGAGGCAAAGGAATTTCATCTGGGAGATCTTTAAATTGTGAAACATCTGCAACTTTCCTTTGTTGTAAGAGTCTTATTTTCTGCCGTTTCTGTTTTAATGCTGATCTCTCTTCCTCAAAAAATGCAGAAGAACATCTAGAATAAATTATAAAAATCACATAAACTAATAACTGTCCTATACAAAAATTTAAATTCTGACCGTCCATTTCACTGTTCCCTTTTTCATCCTCATTTTTTTGAGCACTGTATTTAATAATGGTTCTTAGAAATTCTTTCTCTTGCAAGCATATTACCTTTAATTTCCTAAAACTGGGAGGGTGTGGGGAGGGGAAGGATCTCACAAAACAAAGCTATACAAGCAGGTCTAGGTTTTTCCTTCCTGTAAAACCAGAGGATTTCATCAACATGTTAACAAAGCAGTGTCTGGAGCTTAACAGGTCTCTTAAAGACAATGTTCAATTTTAATATTCTACTTAGAAGAACATGATGCTTTTCCAGTTACCCAGTGAGCACAATATAAAATTAAGGATGAAACTTTTTACTGTGTAAACTTTCTTTAGTATATGTGCTATCGAAACGAGCACCCTGTGTAAACTTTTAACAACATTTATGCCCATCTTGCTCCCCTTTTCAAATTCTACAATGAACTAAAACATTTAAATATGACTTTTATGCTGTTTTATGACTACCACCTTCAAAGGTACACTGTGAGCTCTACTGTCATTTAAATTAAATAGTCTCAAAAACTAAAAACAAGGAGTAAAAATGATACAACAGGCTGGGCATTGTGGCATAGTAGGTTGACCTACCTCTTGGAATGTCCATATCCCTCATCAGAGTGTCTGGGTTGAGTCCTGGCTATTCTGCTTCCTATCCAGCTCCTAATTATTTTGCCCTGGCAACAACAGATAAAAACTCAAGTACTCAAGTACCTTGCCACCTACATGGGAGACCCGGATGCAGTTCTTGGCTCCTAGCCAGGTTTGGCCCAGCCCCAGGTATTGGGACCATTTGGGGAATGAATCAGTGAATCGAAGATTTCTGTATCTCATTAATAATTTTAAAAGCTAGTATACAGAGCACTGGGCTGAGCCAAAGGAGGCTCTTCATAATATAGTTTTTGCCACTTGTTAAAATTAGGGGTACAGCATTGCAGTTCAGTGGGTTAAGATACAGCTTGCAATGCTGGCATCCCATATTAGAGCGCTGGTTCAAGTCCTATCTGCTCCACTTCCAATCCAATTCCCTGCCAATGTCCTGGGAAGGCAGTGGAAGTACTTGGGTCCCTGCCACTCATGTGGGAGAGCAGGATGGAGTCCCTGGCTCCTGGCTGTGCTCTGGCCCAGACCTGAGTGTTGTAGCCATTTGGAGTGAACCAACAAACAGAAGATCTCTGTTGTTCTGCCTTTCAAATAAATAAATCTTAGAAAAAACAAAACAAAACAAAACAAAACAAAACACCAGAAAACTATACATGGGAAAAATGTGAAAATACTAAGCAAAGAATGATGGGTTACTAGAAAATGAATAGTAGAATAGTTTCATAAAATGGATTTTCTTCTGCTCTATACGACATCATTTAGAGGTTGTTTTGGCATTTAAGAACAAAGGACTCATACTATCCTCCTACAGTTGACAATTCCAAATGTTTGCTTCCTTGAATACCAAAATTACCATTTCCTCTCTTGTACTCACTTTCCTCAATTCTGTTTTGAAATTTCTGTTTGTTAACATTTTGAAGTATAATCAGCATTTAATTATATATGTTTAAAGTGTACTATTTGGTAAATTTTGATATATGCGTATTATATATAAATTATAAAATCCCTCACAACACAGTGAACACATGAACACATCCACAAGTTTCTTGTGCATTTTCTTTTATATTGCTTCCTTTCTTATACCTCTTTTCTCAAGCAACCACTAGGTTGTTTTCTCTCAGTATAGTTTCTATCTTCTGAAAGTTTATATATATGGAATCATCTAGTATATACTATTTTGTAAGGCTTCTTTCATTAAGCATTAAGTTTTCTGAATTCTACCTGGTTGTATGTATCAATTGTTCATTCCTTTTTTAAAAAAATTACTTATTTACTTAAGATTTATTGAATTTTGAGTCCCACCTACAGTAGCCTTTGTAAGGCCAGACCAAATGATTTCACAGGCCTCACAGGACCCATAGGCCGGATGTTCCCCATGCAATAGGGATCATTAAAATTAAATTCCATTTCTCCTTCTCCAAATCACTTTATATTTCTAGGCCTTCTTTGACCATTCCTATCACTTAAAACGAAAAAGTCTTGCACGTGCTTTTTCTTGGCATTTGTTTTTTTTTTTTTTTTTTTATTTTATTTTATTTTATTTTTTTTTTGACAGGCAGAGTGGACAGTGAGAGAGAGAGAGACAGAGAGAAAGGTCTTCCTTTGCTGTTGGTTCACCCTCCAATGGCTGCTGCGGCCGGCGCACCGCGCTGATCCGATGGCAGGAGCCAGGAGCCAGGTGCTTTTCCTGGTCTCCCATGGGGTGCAGGGCCCAAGCACCTGGGCCATCCTCCACTGCACTCCCTGGCCACAGCAGAGAGCTGGCCTGGAAGAGGGGCAACCGGGACAGAATCGGGCGCCCCAACCGGGACTAGAACCCGGTGTGCCGGCGCCGCTAGGCGGAGGATTAGCCTAGTGAGCCGCGGCGCCGGCCCAATCTTTGGCATTTGTGAAACTATGTATGAAAGTAACTCAGGAAATGCTGTTTGTGCTAGAGATTCCAGGAGACACTGATTTTTGTTCAATCTGCTACTTAAGAACATCCTTTGGGAGGCTATCCTGGCCTTGGCATTACGTCTGTAAAGAGAAGTAATGTTAACAACAAAGTATCTTTGTCCCAAAGGTAATACCATCACCAAGGAGTTCTCTTTAGGACTAAGCCAAGTTTAGAACACTGGAGGACTCCAGAGGTTTGGATTAGTTTTTGTGAATCTCAGATCACACAAGGACATGTTGAAAGCTCTACAGAAAACCTACAGAAAACCTGTGGACAAGAACAAAAAACCTCTATTCATGAGTTTGGGAAACCAGGACCCAGTCTTAGCAATGATACATAAATGCTTTGGACTGAAATATGAATATTCATGAGATTCACAAGCTTTAGAGGAGGCAACTGGTTTGGAAAGCAGAGAAAAGAAGTAAAGCTAAATAGCCAGCAAAGTAAGCCCCAGTGATGGGCATATGAATACGGATTACAAATCAGAATGTTTCCTCAGTAAATTCTGTTGTTGAATAACTGGATTGCAGCCAAATTTTTTACTATGTTCTACTTACACATTTATAAAGTGCTTAATTAAGTACTATCCTCAAACTAGAAAGACTACTCTCCTAAAATTCTTGAGTTATCTTTACCATGAATAACAATTTCTCCACTCTTATACTAGGACATAAAATTTCAAGATTTCCAAAACAAATCTCATTCTTTGCAAGTTAAGGTGTTCTGCTTAGGTTATCTCCATAGTCTTTATAAATTATAATATATAAAGTATGCTTTCATTTAATTTTTCACAAAAATATATAGCTTCTTCCCTAAAAAGGGGAAGGAAGAAAAACATGAGAAATAAAAACAAACTGAACTGGAAAGAAGAAATAGGAAAACAGACTCCAGGAGAAAAAGGATCAAATTAGACCTATTAAAAAAGTTGTAGCTTATAACATTTGAGAAATTTAAATTTCTAGTCCAAGTAATAGCCATGATACAAGCCATGATACATACTTATCTATATTTGAATAGAACCACTCATATATGCACCATTTATGAGCTTTGGGAAGCTTGAGGAGGTTACGTAATCGGAAACCAATCTTCTGTGATGCTTTCTTATCTGGTGTTGACATTGTCGCTGTAAATTTCTATGCAATAAAAAAACAGAGATTAATAACAGTTCCAGCAAGTAAAAATGAACATTTTTAACATTGAGTATATCTGTAAACTGATAATTACTCACAACGATTCAACATGGAATTTTTTGTTATTGCTTAACAAATAAACATTCTAGTAATTTCGTTTACTTACCTGAGGAAGTAAAGATATGGAGAGAGTGGGAGAGACAGAATTCTCATCTGCTGGTTCACTCCCCTAATGTCCACAATGGCCGGAGTCAAGAGTCAAGAACTCAGCTCAGCTCACCCTCATGGGTGTCAGAGACTCAAGTACCCGAGTTATCACCTGCTGCCTTCCAGGGTGTGCCTTCACAGGAAGCTGGAATTGCGAGCTAGAGACAGCAATCGAATCCAGGCACTCCAATCTGGGACAATGGCCTCTTAACTGCTAGGTCAAACACTGCCTCCCTGATTATTTTTTAGAAAGTTAAAGCCACTAGTTTCATAAGATATTCTGATAAGAAATGTGAGTTATTTGCCTCCACGATGTTTGAACTGCAATAAATTTCCAAGTTAGGTATGCTGGAAGGAAAGACTTACACGAAATATCCCTTGACTTCACAGACCAAAAGACTACTATGAGAGAGACAGAGACATATACACATATAGAGATAAGAAAGTGAGAGAACAAACATGCCAGCAGTCACAAGGCCCAGAAGGTTTCCTCTGTGAATTCTATACCAAACCACAGAACTCTAAGACTACTTAAATGTTTTAGGTCATTAAAAGCATCATTTAAAAAAAAAAAAAAAGCTTCCCAACTCTATATAAAGCCAGCATAACACAGATAACAAAATCTGCCAAACTACCATAAAACTTCAGAAAATATCACTCATGTATATGGATTTTAAAACTCTTTAAAAAAATCTTACCAGATGAACATCATGAAATTAAAAGAAAACAAAACAACCCAGGGGAATTCAGATATCAAGATGATCCAGTATCAGATTAATACAATCTATTATTATTAATAATCTAAGAAAAGCCCTATGATCACCTCTGCTGGATGTTAAAATAATTTGAATACCAATTTTAAGTTTCATAGAATAGAAATAGATGAAATGACTGAAAAAGGTACAACATATTAAAAGTTAAATAATAAGGCTAATGTAGCGCTTAGAGGAAAATTTACAGACTACAACTATAACTGTCCTTTTAAGTCTTGGGGCCGGCGCTGTGGTACAGTGGGTTAACACCCTGGCCTGAAGTGCTGGCATACCATATGGGCACTGGTTCGAGACTGGCTGTTCCACTTTCTGTCCAGCTCTGTGCTATGGCCCAGGAAAGCAGTAGAAGATGGCCTAAGTCCTTGGGCCCCTGCACCCACATGGGAGACCGGGAAGAAGCTCCTGGCTCCTGGCTTCGGATCAGCACAGCTCCAGCCGTTGAGGCCATCTGGGGAGTGAACCATTGGATGGAAGACCTCTCTCTCTCTCTCTCTGCTTCTCCTCTGTGTAACTCTTTCAAATAAAAAAATAAATAAATCTTTAAAAAAAGTTTAAGTCTTTATTAGAAAAGAAGATATCAAATAATTTACACTTCCACACTCCTCCTCCCCCCCAAGAAACTAGAGCAGAATAAAAGACAATATAAAGGGATCCGCGCTGTGGCACAATGAGTTAACGCCCTGGCCTGAAGCACCAGCATCCTATATAGGTGCCTGTTCTAGTCCCGTCTGCTCCTCTTCTGATCCAGCTCTCTGCTATGGCCTGGGATAGCAGAAGATGGCCCAAGTCCTTGGACCCCTGCACCCGCATGGGAGACCTGGAAGAAGCTCCTGGCTCCTGGCTTGGGATCTGTGCAGCTCTGGCCGTTGCAGCCATCTGGGGAGTGAACCAGAAGGTGGAAGACCTCTCTCTCTCTCTGCCTCTGCCTCTCTGTAACTCTGCCTTTCAAATAAATAAATAAATATTAAAAAAAAAAAAGATAATATAGAAAAATAGGAAAACAATCAGTAAAATCAAAAGTTCTTTGAAAAGGGGTTGGTGTTATGGCATAGGGGGCTAAGCTGCCACCAGGAATGCATCCCATATCTGAATGCCAGTTTGATCCTGGCTGCTCAGCTTTCCATCTAGCTCCCTGCTAACAAGGGATGCTCCACTGGGAAGGCAGTGGAGGATGGGTCAAGGACTTGGGATCCGGCCAGATGGAGCTCAAGGCTCCTCGTGCTCACTTGTGTGTGCTTTCTCTATCACTCTGCCTTTCAGGTAAATAAATGAAATATCTTTTTCAAAAAAGGTTCTTTGAAAAGATCAACAAAATTGACCTATCTTTAGCTAAACCAACCAATAAAATAGATACTTTAACTTCATGTTATGCTTTAAAAGTTTCTAAAATGTCATTCTAGAGACTTATCCTCAAAGTCACATGTCATCAATATTTGAAATGGAAACTTTAAGAGGTGATTATGGGTTGCATTATGAAGGAAGTAGCTATCTTGTAAAAGTGAGCTCTCTCTGGCATCCTTGCTTTGTCTCACCATATCATACCCTCTGTAATGTCATGATCTTTCTTGTAAAAAAAAAAAAAAGATTTAATCATTTATTTGACAGACAGAGCCAGAGAGAGAAAAAGAGTCGATCAGTGGTTCTTCCATCCACTCCCCACTGGTTCACTTGGGCTGCAACAGCCCAAGCTGGGCAAGGCCAAAGCTAGGAGCCCAGAACTCCATCTGGATACCCTATGTAGTCAGCAGGGGCCAAGCACTTGAGCCAGCCTTTGCTGTCTTCGAAGATGCATTAGGAGGGAGCTGAATCAGAGGCGGAGCATCCAGGAATAAATTGGTGCCCAAATGACATCCTGGCATCACAGGTTGCAGCTTAACTGGTTGCACCACAGTGCTGGCCCCATGCCATGATCTTGTAGACAGGCCTTCACCAGAACCAGAACAAATGCCAACATCAGGCTACCAGACCATCAGATCAATGAGCACCATGAGCCAAAATAAACCTTTCTTTATAAATTAATCAATTGTCGGTGTTCACAAAATGTAATAGCAACAGAAAATGTACTAAGACACTTGATAAAACACATTTCTTCCCACTTCAATTCAAAAATCAGTATCATATTCAATGTTAAAATACAAAAAATAGGGCCAACATTGTGGCATAGTGGGTAAAGCCACCACCTGTGGTGCCGATATCTCATATGGGCACCGGTTCGAGTCCTGGCTGCTCCACTTCCAGTCCAGCTCTCTGCTATGGCCAGGGAAACAGTAGAAGATGGCCCAAGTCCTTGGGGCCCTGCACCCATGTGGGAAGACCTAGAGGAAGCTCCTGGCTCCTAGCTTTGGATCAGCACAGCTCTGGCCATTGCAGCCAACTGGGAGTAAACCAGCGGATGGAAGATCTCTCTCTCTCTCTGCCTCTCCTTCTCTCTCTGTGTAACTCTGACTTTCAAATAAATAAATACATTTTTAAAAAATACAAAAAACTGAAAAGGATATCAATCTACCACTATTTTTAAACACTGTTTTGAAGGAACTGCTCAATTAGATGAAAGGAATAAAAACTGGAAAGATTACAAAACTACTATTATTTGCAGGTGTTATGACTGCCCCCAAAAACTTACGAAAATCAACTATTCATTAAAAACAAGAAGTGAATTTAATAAAGTTGAATACAAAGTTTATAAGTAAAAATTAGTATTTACCAAAAAAAAAAAAACACTCTTCTCAACCTACAAATGAGAATTAGTCAGACAACAGAAAAAATATTGTTTAATGACAGAAAAATTGACACAATAAACATAAAGGAATATATTTAAGAAATCTGAAAGATTGACAGAGAAAAACTTTTAAAATCTACTGAGGGATTTTAAGGACTTGAAAAAGTACAACTACAACTAGTTCTTGGATAGGTGGATAGGTAGATTCAATACTACATATATCCCATTTCCCATAAATTAACTTAAAATATTATGCAATCCTAATAAAAATGCCAACAAGACTTTTTTCTTACTCAAGCTAATTCTAAAGTTCATATGAAAAATAAATGTCCAAGAATACTTAGGGAGCCAGGGCTGAAGCACAGCTGGTTAAAGCCCAGGCCTGAAGTGCTGGCATCCTATATGGGCGCCGGTTCTAGTCCCGGCTGCTCCTCTTCCGATCCAGCTCTGTGCTATGGCCTGGGAAGCAGTAGAAGTGGCCCAAGTGTCAGATGCCAGAGTCCCTAACCCTGCACCCATGCAGGAGACCAGGAAGAAGCTCCTGGCTCCTGGCTTCAGATTGGTGCAGCTCTGGCCGTTGCAGCCATCTAGGGAGTGAACCAGCAGATGGAAGACCTCTCTCTGTTTCTACCTCACTCTGTAACTCTTTCAAATAAATAAATTTTTTAAAAAAATACTTAAGCAAAACCTAAAAGAACAAATAATGTCTTATCAGACATTGAAACAATATAAGATCATGTTAAAATAATTTAATACAAGCATCTACAGAGACAGCCTAGACATAGAAAGACTTAAGTCATTCTAGCTACATGGAACAATTTAGCTTGTGATGAAGACAGCATTTTGAAATCATGTATAAAAGATGGATTACTCAATAAATGTTACCAAGACAACTAAATAGACCTCTGGAAAAAAAATTACACTGTAGTCTTACCTCATTCCTTATTCCAAAATAAATTCCAGATGTATTAAATATTTAAATATTTTAAAAATATGAAATAAAAAAGTGAGAATTTTAGAACTATAAAATTTACTTAAGGAAGGTAAAGAAGTTATAAAAAGGAAAGTAGGTTATATTTGACATTAAAATTTTTCTAAATCTTGCCTATTGAAAGAAATACAGAAATAAAGCCAGAAGACAAACCACAGAATCTGGAAAAAAATTACAACTAATATATAGACTCTTTCTAATACTCTATTATGTATAAAAATCTTACAAACTAAAATAACCAACAATCCAATAGAAAAATGAAAAAGTAATTACAAAAAGAAATAATTTTTAAACACATGAAAAGTGTCTGAGCCTCACTCACTGATGAAATGCCAACTTAAACAAGCGAGAGGTTATTTCTAAATGTATCAAATTAGCAAAAATCTACATTTTGGTTATATACAGAGTTGGCAAGCATTCAGGAAAATGGGAACTGATATATTGTTGGTAGTAAATATAAACAAGTACAATTTCTTTGGAGAGTAATTTGGCAGTACTTTAAAAACTTTAAATGTGCATATCATATATTCCAGCAATTCCACATTTTAGGCATTGGTCCCAGAAAAAAAACTTGTAAATTTATACAAACATGCTCAGGATGTTCACTACATTGTTTGCAAGAGTAAACCTTAGACATTGTTTAAATAGAATAATTTATAAAGAATTTATAAATAAATTATGGTCTCATGTAAGACTGACTACCATACAATAAAATGAAATTAAATGTTGAACCCTATTTGACAGTCCATCTCAATCAAAATGGTTAAATCTCAAAAAAAGACTTTTCGGGGAGGAAAAAAAATTATAGGATGATGCATGCCATAATTATCATGAAAATGATACTTTAAATGTAATTTTAAAATAGACATTCAAAATGAAAATACTATTAATATATATTCTATGAAAACAAAGTTCTATAAGTATAAAAAAGTCTTAAGATTTTATATATATACGTGTGTGTGTGTGTGTGTGTGTGTATTTATATATGAAACCTACAATAATAAACCTAGTTAGGGTGGTTACCATTAGGTGAGTGATACAGAAGATCAGGATGGTAAATTGAGATCAAAATTAGCTTTTCATTTTTTGTTATAAATTTATTTTGGAAAAACTGTAGTTACAGAAAAGCTGCAAAGACAGCATGGAGTTCCCTTATGTTTTCCACTCAGCTTTTGCTGATATCAATATCTTAAATAACCATGTTATATATTTGTCAAAACTGGTACAATACTATAGACTTTAGTACAGTATAAAATTAGTATTAATAACTATAGACTTTATTTGGATTTCATCAGTTTTCTCATTAGTCTTTTATCTGTTCCAGAACCCAGCCCAGGATACCACATTATATTTATAAAATTAACTTTTTAACATAAGAAAAAGTCTGTAAGCCAGGAGATGTTTAGCTAAATAACAACTAAGTTACTTATCACATAAAGTGCTTTCTACTGAGTTATTGAGCAGATTTTTAAATAGGGTATTGGCAGCTCACTGGTGATTCTCTCTCTAATAATATATAATAAAAGTATATGTAACTGATCAGTTTGGGGAAACATATTCACACTGTTAAATTGTTAAAACTTTTATGGATAGATTATTTGATAGTACCTTTTAAAAAAAAACTAGGCTTCCATTTTACTTAGGATAATTCAGTGTTACCTGTTTGCTTTTTAATTAATTTATTAATTTATTTATTTCCATTTTATTTGTAAGGCAGAGAGACAGAGATCTTCCATCTAGTTCACTTCCCAAACACCCACAACAGCCAGGACTGGGCCAGGTGAAAGCCAGCAGACTGAACTCGGCAACCAGGTCTCCCTGTGAGTGGCAGGATCCCAATATGCTTTCTAAGGTACAAACCAGTAGGAAGCTAGATTGAAAGCAGAGTAGTCAGGATTCCAAACAGGCACTGTAATATCAGATGCCAGAGTCCCAAGTGGTGACTTAACCACTATGCCAAATTCCTATCCCATATCTTCCAAATTTTTAATGTAAACATCCTTGTTATAGCAATTAGACTTCTAAGGGATTATTAAATGATTGAAAAATAGACAGTAACTGACACCAGGTACAAAGTTTCTTCTCAGGGTGATGAAAATGTTCTAAAACTAACATAATGATAGTTGATCAACTCTGTGCATGTATTTAAAAAACATTAAACTACACTTTGAACATATTAATTTATGATATGTGAATTACATCTCAATAAAGATATCTGTTATTTATTTAACAGAGAGAGGTCCCATCTACTAGATCAAATGCCTGTAATAGCTAGGACTGGGCCAGATCAAAGCGGGAAGCCTAGAATTCAATTCAGCTCTCCCACATTTGTGGCAGAAATCCAACTACTTAGCCATCACAGCTGCCTCCCAGGGTCTGTATTAGCATGAAGGTGGAATCAGAAGCAGAACTAGGATTCAAATCCAGGCACTCTAACATAGTGTGTGGCTATCTCAAGTGCTGTCTTAACCATCGCAGCAAACACCTGCCCCTGCATATATTTGTTAGAAAGCAGGATTCTGCAGATAAGATGCCTGCCATTGTACTCTCAGCCGTCACTTCCTAACTTCATGATCTGAAGTTAGACAACTTTTCAGCATCCATTTTCCATCTGTAAGATGGGGACTAGCTGGCACCGTGGCTCAATAGGCTAATCCTCCACCTAGTGGCGCCGGCACACCGGGTTCTAGTCCCGGTCTGGGCGCCGTATTCTGTCCCAGTTGCCCCTCTTCCAGGCCAGCTCTCTGCTATGGCCCAGGAGTGCAGTAGAGGATGGCCCAAGTGCTTGGGCCCTGCACCCCATGGGAGACCAGGAGAAGTACCTGGCTCCTGCCTTCGGATCAGCGCGGTGCGCCGGCCGCGGCGGCCATTGAAGGGTGAACCAACGGCAAAAGGAAGACTTTTCTCTGTCTCTGTCTCTCTCTCTCACTGTCCACTCTGCCTGTCAAAAAAAAAGCCTGCACTGCGGCTCAGTAGGCTAATCCTCTGCCTTGCGGCGCTGGCACACCGGGTTCTAGTCCTGGTCGGTGCGCTGGATTCTGTCCCGGTTGCCCAACTCTTCCAGGCCAGCTCTCTGCTGTGGCCCGGGAGTGCAGTGGAGGATGGCCCAAGTGGTTGGGCCCTGCACCCCATGGGAGACCAGGATAAGCACCTGGCTCCTGCCTTCAGATAGGTGCGGTGCACCGGCCGCAGCGCGCCGGCCGCGGCGGCCGTTGGAGGGTGAACCAACGGCAAAGGAAGACCTTTCTCTCTGTCTCTCTCTCTCACTGTCCACTCTGCCTGTCAAATAAAAAAAAAAAAAAAAGAAGATGGGGACTAATATAATAGTAACCAATCTCCTGGTTAAAGATTAAATCAACAGATGCATTCAAAATGCTTACATCATGACCTGGCAAATACTAAAAATCAGTAAAAGATTTGCTTTTCATAACTGCTCTGGATGGTATTTAAATAAACACACAGACAAAATGCAATGGATTTAGAGAACTAGATGGGCAAGGGAAAAAGTCACATCATGTAAATGAAGACCAAAAATACTAGGGATATTAAAACTAGTAAAGAGGAGCAGGTGTTTGGCATAGTGGCATAAGTCCCCACTTGGTTCGCCTCACATATTGGAATGCCTGGTTGGAGTCCCAGCTATTCCACTTCCAATCCAGCTTCCTGCTAATATGCATCCTGGGAGGCAGTAGATAATGGTTCTAATACTTGAGTCTCGGTCACTGCATGGGTTCTAAGATCCTGGTCTTGGCCTGGTCTAGCCCTGGCTGTTGTGGACATTTGGGGAGTGAACTAGTGAATAAAAGATCTCTTCTGTCTCTGACTTTGAAAGTTAAAAAAAAAAAACTAGAGAAAACTCAGAGGATATAAAAACTCACATTTTTAAAGAAGTCTCATATCATGTTTGTCTTGTATTGCTCAGAAGTAGAAAGGACTTTGTAAAATAGTCCTAGTAGGAATGACGTACCTGGGAAGGAATGCAGCGGACAGGGTTGGGATAGGAAAGTTTCATAAAGACCAGAGTTCTTACGTTTGTGAATCATCTACATCATTCTAATAATGTAGCTCTTCCAAAGTCAAGCTATTGTTAACTACTTCTGTAGTCATTCAATCTTGTATCCAATATCTACCACGCCAAGAAATGTTCATTGTGTTTTGGCTTCAATCAGGTCAAATGTTATGTACACTTGTTCTTGATGTTTAAAAAGTTTGATATATTTTTGTTTATTATATAGAACATGAAATATTTTATTGTTTGAAATTATCATAAAGGTACATCATTTTGGGGGGAGGGCAGGTCATTCCTTTAATTTATTTGATACCAAGTCCTTAGTTAAAAAATTGTGTTTAGAAAATCTTGTTTTATAACACTTTTGAGAAAATAATGAGAAAGAAGTTGGGAATGACTATATAAGAAGTCATAAATTTGACAGAAAAATTACATTATCCTTCCTAATTAAAAAAATTTTTTTTAATTGAAAGGCAGAGAGAGAGACAGACAGACACATGAAGAAAGCGTCCATCTGCTGGGTCACTCCCCAAATGCCCACAGCAGCCAAGAATGGGCAAGACCAAAGCCAAAAGCCTTGAATTCATTGTGGATCTCCCATTTGGGCAGTATGAGCCATCACCAGCTGCTGTCAGGGTGTACATTATTAGGAAACCGCAATCAGGAATAGAGGCAGAACCCAAACTCAGGTACTCTACTAAGGGATGCAGGCATCTCAAGCAGAATCTTAACTACTGTGCCAAATGCCCAGTCTACATTATCCTTAAAGTTACTATCTCCTCATCCAATTTTCATTCCCTTCTTACGTGTCCACAATGACTTAAAAACAAATAAATAAAAGATGCCAAAAATAAACAAAAAAGAAATGATTTCATGCTATGTTTTCCCTTTTTGGATAACCAAAGTCTTCAACATACTTCCCCTAGTGACAAAGTAAAACATCTTTCCCCTCTTATTTCTATGTCAAATTCCAAACTGATTCTATATTGTCGAATCCACTTCAGTAGTGTCTACTATCTTCCTGCTTAAGAGAAAGGTGTGCATATGTAGAATTGACAGCTGGTTTTCTACTCTGATTTAAAATGAATCAAGAAATCAATGACATTTTCTAGCTAACCAAAATAGGAGCCAAGCAGCAGTACCGATTAAAAAAACAAAACAAAACAAAACAAAAAAAACTTGTTACTCAAAATGTAACAGAACAAATAACCTTTATAATGTGGAGCAATTGCTTACTTCCTTTTGCATGAAACAAAAGTTTAGCAAACATACCTGTGGAACCATTGCAACCCTCTGGTTTCTTTTAGGTGACCTTGTATTTATTTGTCTGTCATCTTCATCAGAAAAGAGTCGACTTCTTTTTGAGTTTCTGAAAGGCTTCATAGAAATTTTTTTATTTAATGAAAAAGCTGAACACTTCCCACTTTTGATCCAAAATATAATTTTATACTTGGAATATACTTGGAAAATAACTCTGGATTATCAGCATTAAGGAAGAACTAAATATGGGTAATACAAGGCACAAAAAGCCAAATGTTAAATAATCTTAGACTTAGGAAGTCTAAGATATATATTTATGTAATTTGTTTACAAGTGAAACATCTAACTGATGATTAAACTTTAACTAGAACCCAAATCTCCTTAGTACACTGGCAGCCTTTGATAATAAAGATAAGGAAATAAGTTCTGGAAATTCCAGTTCAAATTATGTTAGCACTTCAATTAATACCAGTTGGGTGTACTACGAAGATATGTCTGTTGCTTAGGGTTAGGCTGGGGCAAAGATACTAAATCTCTCCGGAAAAGTAAGCCTAAATGTATATAATATTATACCAGGTGAGCTGTCAAAAACTGTTAAATGGGCAGGCATCTGGCCTAGTAGATGCTGCTGGAGATGTAAGCGTCCCATATCAGAGTGCTTGGGTTTGAGTCCCAGCTCTGTTCCCAATACCAGCTCCCTGCTAATGCACACCCTGGGAGGCAGCAGGTGATGGCCCAAGCAGTTGAGTCTTGCCACCCAGGTAGGTGACTGAGACCCAATTCCTAATCTCTGGCTTTGATCTGGCCCAGCTGGCCATTGCAGGCATTTAGGGAGTGAATCAAAGGATAGAAGTCATCTCTCTCCCTTTCTCCCTCCCTCCCCACCTACCTCCTCCATCTTTCTACCTCTCAAATGATTTTTTTTAAATTGTTAAACAAATTTCCATTTGTAAATAAAAATACAAGATAAAAATACTTAAGAGTTACCTGTAAAACTAAAAGAAAATGTTAATTACCAAAAGCATATAATACACTCAAGGGTCTGTAACTTGAAAAATTTCAGTCTACCCTAGGTTCAGAAGTTTCATTAATAGAAACAAACAACAGAAATAATATTACAGTAAGACCTACTTCCCTTTTCAAAGCTTTCTCCTCCCACTAAAGATATACTTTCATGCCTATCTAAAAGGCAGTCGGGTGCACGGGGCTAGTATAACACACAGGCAGTATCCAATTGGGTCAAGACTAGAGGTTTGGACCCTTGAAATTAAAACTACTCAGAGTCTCAACATTCCATAGGTCTAACACATAGGTCTCAACATTCCATAGGTCTGACATGAAGTCCCTTCTACCCTGCCCCCTCTCTTAATCAGGGACAGAGAGGAAGAATGGAATGACAGATGGAACTGACAGAATGAGGAAGTCCCTCACATTCACTGTGATCAGCTGCCCCAGCTACTATGACTACTGCTATCCCACCTCCAGGCCCGCTTCACTATTGACTTGTAAGGACTGAAAACTGTTAATCATGCTAGTTATATTTCTCTGCTTTCTACCTCTAAATGTATTTAGCCTTGACCTACACAAGACAGTTCTACCTTACCACTATTTATATATATTTTCACAAAGGCCAGACTCATGTAACATTTTTGTATATCTAAAAAAATGTATGATTTGGGGATGCAAGAGTTTGTTTTTTCCCAATTTAAAGAAATAATTACTTAACAAATACTTAATGATGACCAGCTTATCACTATCTACAATTTATTAAATAATATCAAATATTATTCCATGACACTTAAAAACTCAAATTCTTGAGGCTGGGAGGAAAAAAACCTTAGAAATTGTTTACTGTACTCTAATAACTTACATGTGACATTAATACAGTTTAGCTATATTTTAAAGTGTAAGAAAAAGTCGTTCCTTACCATTTCCATAGCAGGGCCTGTATTCCTGCCTTTCCAAACAGGCGTTTTTTGTAAAGAACTGTACTTTTCATTCCATGTGTTAGATAAACTTCCCTCTGTAATGAATAAGTAATACTAATAAAATTTAAGTTTAATTCAAAGGGTTTCATATTACAAACATTACTTTTTTAGTAATAGCAATACATATGAAATATTTACCGATGTGCCAATTTTAGATTATTACATGAAAAAAATCTCTCCTTAATTCTGTCCATCTTCCTTAATAATTTGATAGGGCAATGCATCTTGAAAGTATTAAATGTCTACACAGAAACATATAGCTTCCCTTTTTAAAAAAAAATTTCAATCATTCATTTGAAACCCAGAGTTAGAGAGCAGGGAGGCAGAGAGAGATCTTCCATCTGCTGATTCACTCCCCAGATGGCTGCAAAGTAGGACCCCTGGCTGAAACCAGGAGCTTCATCCAGGTTTCCCATGTGGGTTCCAGGGGCCCAAGTACTTGGGCCATCTTCCGCTGCTTTCCCAGGAATGTTAGCAGGGAATAGGATTGGAAGTGGAGCAGTTAGAACTCAAACTGGTGTCGTTATGGGATGCTAGCATCACAGCTGGTGGCTTAACCTGCTATACCACAATGCTGGCCCTTTTTTTTTCTTGTTGGCTTTTAATAATCCCTCAACTCCATGAGTCCTGGTACATTTTGAGTATCTAGTTTTTTTTTTTTTGACAGAGTGGATAGTGAAAGAGAGAGAGACAGAGAGAAAGGTCTTCTTTTGCCGTTGGTTCACCCTCCAATGGCCGCCACAGCCAGCACGCTGCAGCAGGTGCACCGCGCTGATCCGAAGACAGGAGCCAGGTACTTCTCCTGGTCTCCCATGGGGTGCAGGGCCCAAGCACTTGGGCCATCCTCCACTGCACTCCGGGGCCATAGCAGAGAGCTGGCCTGGAAGAGGGGCAAGCGGGACAGAATCCGGCGCCCCGACCGGGACTAGAACCCGGTGTGCCGGTGCCGCTAGGTGGAGGATTAGCCTAGTGAGCCGCGGCGCTGGCCCAGGAGCTATCTTATAATTGTTGGTACAACTCTGACTGAAAATAGGGCAGGCAACGGAAAATGGAAAAAGCCCTTTCTAACCTTGAATTTAGAGCATATTTCTAAATGCTCTTGGCTTCAATATATGAAACCCTGAACATCTGAAAATGGAATTAGTATGATGTTTTTATTAATTGAAAGAACTATCTTCAAAGCTGTGCACAACCAGGAAAATGTAGCAAGTAACTGATTAGACATATTATGAAAAACAAAGAGAGCCGGTGCCGCGGCTCAATAGGCTACTCTTCCGCCTGCAACGCCAGCACCCCAGGTTCTGGTCCTGGTTGGGGCGCCAGATTCTGTCCCAGTTGCTCCTCTTCCAGTCCAGCTCTCTGCTGTGGCCCAGGAGGGCAGTGGAGGATGGCCCAAGTCCTTGGGCCCCTGCAACCATGTGGGAGACTCAGAAGAAGCTCCTGGCTCCTGGCTACAGACCAGCACAGCTCTGGCCATTGGCAGCCATCTGGGGAGTGAACCAGTGGATGGAAGACTCTCCGCCTCTGCTTCTCTGTAACTCTGCTTTCAAATAAATGAACCTTTGGAAAAAAATTAGATCATGAAAAATTTTTTCAGATGTGTATTTTAAGAAGCATGAAAAGAAAGAGGTGAAATGGAGCTGATCCTGCTAGCCAAAGAAGCTGAGGCATTCTGGAAGATGAGTGAGCAGTCTCTTCAAGCTACAAGGACATAATCTAATAAATCACCAATCTAAAACACAACATGGTAATTTTAAAGACTAAATATTCTCTGAGCCTTTGAGAATTTTAACTTGGTTCCAAATTTATCTACCCAGTAGAATCTTTTTGCTTGTTTACTTATTTGAAAAATCACAGTTCCAGAGAAAGGAGAAAAGACAGAGATCTTCCATCCATTGATTCACTCCCTAAATGGCCACAATAGCCAGGGCTGGGCTAGGCCAAAGCCAGGAGCTTTACCTGGGTCCACCACATGGGTGCAGAGGCCCAAGTATTTTAGCCATCTTGTGCTCCTTTCTCAGACACATTAGCAGGGAGCTGGATCAGAAGTGGAACCGGGCCGGCACCGCGGCTCACTAGGCTAATCCTCCGCCTTGCGGCGCCGGCAGACCGGGTTCTAATCCCGGTCGGGGCGCCAGATTCTGTCCCGGTTGCCCCTCTTCCAGGCCAGCTCTCTGCTGTGGCCAGGGAGTGCAGTGGAGGATGGCCCAAGTACTTGGGCCCTGCACCCCATGGGAGACCAGGATAAGTACCTGGCTCCTGCCATTGGATCGGCGCGGCGCGCCAGCCGCAGTGCACCAGCCACGGCGGCCATTGGAGGGTGAACCAACGGCAGAAAGGAAGACCTTTCTCTCTGTCTCTCTCTCTCACTGTCCACTCTGCCTGTCAAAAAATAAACAAAAAAAAAAAAAGAAGTGGAACCGGGACTGAACCAGGACTGCAACTGGTGTTCATATGAAATGCCAGCATTGTAGGCAGCTGTTTTACCAGCTTGCCACAAGGCCAGCCCCCAACCCAGTAGAATCTTAAGACTTTTATAATAAAAGTTAAACTATGTGAAGTGGGGTAGTCTAAAGTACCTACCAAGCAAAACCATGGAATACATCTAATTTTCTTCTCAGAAAGACCAAAGTACCATCCTTTTATTTCAGGAAACTTGCATCATTACTTAGAAAAGTCAAGAATCTTAAAACCGAACTATTATGAAAGCATATGGCTCAGTACAGTTGTTTAATAAATGCTTTAAATCTAAATAAGGGTGCCAGCGCTGTGGCACAGTAGGTTAATCTTCTGCCTGCAGCGCCAGCATCCCTTATGGGCGCCAGTTCTAGTCCCAACTGCTCCTCTTCCAACCCAGCTCTATGCTATGGCCTGGGGAAGCAGTAGAAGATGGCCTAAGTGCTTGGGCCCCTCACACACCTGGGAGACCCAGAAAAAGCTCCTGGCTCCTGGCTTCAGATCAGCACAGCTCTGGCCATTGCAGCCATCTGGGGAGTGAACCAACAGAAGGAAGACCTTTCTCTCATTCTCACTATCTGTAACTCTACCTCTCAAATAAGTAAATAAAATCTTTTTTAAAAAATCTAAATAAGGCTGGTGCCGCGGCTCACTAGGCTAATCCTCCGCCTTGCGGCGCCGGCACACCGGGTTCTAGTCCCGGTCGGGGCGCCGGATTCTGTCCCGGTTGCCCCTCTTCCAGGCCAGCTCTCTGCTGTGGCCAGGGAGTGCAGTGGAGGATGGCCCAAGTACTTGGGCCCTGCACCCCATGGGAGACCAGGAGAAGTACCTAGCTCCTGCCATCGGATCAGCGCGGTGCGCCTGCTGCAGCACGCCAGCTGCGGCGGCCATTGGAGGGTGAACCAACGGCAGAAAGGAAGACCTTTCTCTCTGTCTCTCTCTCTCACTGTCCACTCTGCCTGTCAAAAAAAAAAAAAAAAATCTAAATAAGATCTTTCTGGAATATTTAGTTAGAAAATTCTTAATTTTTGGAATAATTTTTTCTTTATAATTTATACTGAAGGCCAATTCTCCTACAAAATTATATAAATTCAAAGTTGCTGGGGGGCAACTTTGTGTGGCGTGGCGGGTGGGGCGCCACTTGCGGTGCCAGCATTCTATATTGGCACTGGTTTGAGTACCGGCTGCTCCTTTTCCGAAGCAGCTCTCCACTATGGCCTGGGTCCTTGGGCCCCAAGTGGGACAGCCAGAGGAAGCTCCTGGCTTCAGATCAGCGCGGCTCTGGCCATTGCGGCTGTCTGGGGAGTGGAGTAGCAGATGGAGGAGGACTCCTCCCTCCCTCCCTCCCTCCTTCCCTCTCTCTCTCCCTCCCTCCCTCTCTTCTCACTGCCTCTGCCTCTCTGTGACTCTGCATTTCAAATAAATGAATGTATCTTTTAAAAAAAAGAAAGTTGCCAAATGGAATAGGCATAGGGTATAGCAGTTAAGGCGTTGTTTGGGACACCCAAATCCAATATCAAGTGCCTGGTAAAAGCACCAACTCCTCTGCATCTGATCCAGCTTCCTGCTAATGCGCACCCTGGGAGGCAGCAGGTGATGGCTCAAGTACTTGGGTCCTTGCCATGAGTATCAGAGACCTGAACTGAAGTTCTGGGGTCCTGGCTACAACTTGGCGCAGCCTTGGTTGTTATGAGCATTTGGGCAGCAAACCAGTAGATAGATCTCTGTCTCCCTGTATCTCAAAAAGAAAATGAATTTTTAAAGAATAATTTTTTAAAAATTAATTATTTGAAAGGTAGAGTTACAGAGAGCCAGAAGCAGAGAGAGAGAGGCAAGTTTTCCATCTGCTGGTTCACTCCCCAAATGGTAGCAACAGCCAGAGCTATGCCAATCCAAAGCCAGGAGCCAGGAGCCAGGAGCTTCTTCTGGGTCTCCGATATGGGTATAGGGACCCAAGGACCTGCGCCATCTTCTACTGCCTTCCCAGACCATAGCAGAGAGCCTGATCGGAAGTGGAACAGCCAGGACTCAAACCATTGCCCACATGAAGTATGAATCAATGATGTCGGCAATGCAGGCAGCAGCTTTAAAAAAAAAAAAATGTATTTATGGGCCCGGTGCTATGATATAGAAGGTTAAGCTGCCGCCTGCAGAGCCAGCATCTCATATGGGCATGCTCCACTTCCAATCTAGCTCCTTGTAATGCACCTGGGAAAGCAGTGGAAGATGGCCCAAGTAACCATGTGGGAGACCCAAAGAAGCTTCTGGCTGCTGGCTTCAGCCTGGCCCAGCTCTGGCAGTTGTGACCACTTGGGGAGTGAATCAGCGGATGGAAGATTAATATCTCTATCTCTCTTCTCTCTGTATCTCTGTCTTTCAAATAAATAAATAAATCTTCAAAAAAGTATTTATTTATTTGAAAGAGTTACACAGAAAGAGGGAGATATACACAAGGTGTGGGGGCAGATCTCCTAACTGCTGGTTCACTCCCCAGATGGCTGCAACAGTCAGGGCTGAGCCAGGCTGAAGCCAGGAGCTTCATCTGGGTCTCCCATGTGGGTGGCAGGGCCCAAACACTTGGGCCATCTTCCACTGCTTTTCCCAGACCATTAGCAGGGAGCTGAATGGGAAGTGGAGCAGCCAAGGAAGTAAACCAGTGTGCCCATATGGATGCCAGCATCTCAGGCATATGCCACAAAGCCAGCCCCCAAAATAAAACTCTTTCACTGATAGCTAAAGCTATCAGTGAAAATATTTAAAAGCTATAATGAATCAACTTAAAAAGGAAAAAAGAAACATGATATCCAAATTAATCTTATGAATTAAATTTCTAGCTTCTGGCACACCTAAAAACACTGTAATTCTTACCTTTTAAACTGACAAGGGCTTTTGCTGAAGAGCCTGCAATTAAAGATAAATCAACAATTATTTCATAATCAACAGGAAGAGAAAAAAAGAGATGTGTTTAGTTAGCAATATTGAGATTGAAGTGGTACTGGAAAATACCACTGTGCTCCTGGAAATAACTAGTAGACAAGTACAACTACAGACCAGAACCCAGACAGGGCAGGGAAGAAGTGCAGAAGACATTTGGGAGTCTTGTTTAAGTTGTGAGAAGTAGAGACCATTCTGAGACAGCAAAATGTAAAAAGAGAGGAAAAAGAAACAGTAGGGACAGAAGTAATTCTGTATCTTCATTCATGCTCTGGCACTGGAGGAAGAGAGAAAGGAATCTGACATTCATTGAGGCAAAGATCAGAACAGGTAATGGAGTAGAGAAAACAGACAGTAGAAATGATTCAGGGACTGCCATAGCAGGCAACAAGTCCCTTCCAAGCCTAGAAGGCAGGTATGTGTAATACTTCAAGACCCTCAGAACAGCCAAGAGGGGCTAGCTTAAAGCAGGAAGGGTTCACTAGACAAGGCAAACTGCAGTGTTTATGAGAATTAGTAGGAAGCTCCCCATGCATGCAGAATCTGCACTGCTTAAAAAAGCGCTTGGAGAATTTTGTTACAGGCAACCCACTTTGACGAACATCGGACTAAAGATTTCAGCATGAACAATGGACAGCATCTATAGGTGTGGGGAGAAGGAGAATCAATAGAAAAAAAGCTTTTTTGAAGTTTAAACCAAAGGCAGATGAAGTCAAGGGTGAGGGGGTTTGGGAGAATACTGTAAAATCTTAAGAAGCCTCAACAATACAACTGGGAAGCAGCAGAAGTACAAAATACACATATCCATGAAGTTACCAAAGGAATATAGTTCATTTGAGAAAAAAGTGGTAAGTAGTGCTGACTGCATGCCAGTCTATGCTCCAGGCAATGGGGGTACAAGAGCAAGCAAAACAGCAAAAGTCCCAATTCTTGTGGAGGGTATATAGTTTTGAAGGGAGACAAATACACATCAGGTGATGATAAGCACCATGGGAGAAAAATAATAAAGCAGGAAGACAGTGAGTATGGAATGGGCATGATAGGATGAAAGATTATATTTATATCAGGTGTTTGTGATTAGCTTCTCTGAAGTGTAGTATCTGAACAGAGATCTGAAAGCTACAAGGAAACCCATCCCTGTATAAACCACACTTTAGGGCTTCTGACCTATCACCTTTAAAACTTCTTTTCTGGTTGGTTGTTGTGGCTCAGCAGGTTAAGATGCAGCTGAGGATGCCATACCCCATACTAGAGTGCCAGTTCAGTTCCCAGGTCCCTGCTACTCTGCTTCTGATCCAACTTCCTAGGAGGCAGCAGATGGTGGTCCATGTACCTGGGTCCCTGCCACCTGTGTGAGAGTATGGGATGGATTCCTGGCTCTTGGCTTCAGCCTGGACCAGCCCTGGCTGTTGTAGGCATTTGGAGAGTGAACCACTGGATGGAAGATCTGTCACTCTGCCTTTCATATAAATAAATCTTAAAAAAACAACAACAACAACAACAACAACAACAACAGGAACTCCATCCAGATCTCCCATGTGAGAGGCTCAAGTACCTGAGTCATCTTCCACTTATTTCCTAGTGAGCTGGATCAGACTCCAGTTGGCACTCTGATATGGGATGAAGGTGTCCCACCTGGGGGCTTAACCCACTGTGCCACAATGCCCACTCCAGATTTTTTTTGAGTGGCAGTATAGTACAGTGGTTAGGAGTATAGGTTCTAGATTCAGACTAGCTGGGTTTGAATCTTGCTCTGCCACTTTCTTGGTTACCTTAGCAAGTACTTAACTTCTCTATGCTGCTGTTTCTTCCTTTAAAAATAGAAATTAAGTGGGATAATAAGCAAAAGTTTTCAGAAAGTTAAGGGAGGGCCAGCACCGTGGCACAGCGAGTTAAAGCCCCAGCCTGCAGTGCCAGCATCCCATATGGGTACCGGTTCAAGTCCCGGCTGCTCCTCTTCTGATCCAGCTCTCTGCTATGGCCTGGGAAAGCAGTAGAAAATGGCCCAAGTCCTTGGGCCCCTGCACCCACATGGGAGACCCGGAAGAAGGCCCTGGCTTCAGATCAGCTCAGCTCTGGCTGTTGTGGTCATTTGGGGAGTGAACCAACAGAATGGAAGACGTCTCTCTCTCTGTAACTCTTTCAAATAAATAAAATAAATCTTTAAAAAATAAAATAAGTTCAGGGAAAATGCATATTATGAAAAATTTCTGTGGATTTAGAAATATATTTGCACCAAAATAAACTTAACTTTTCATTCCATTTTCTGTGAACTTTTTAAAGTATCCTTGTGTATTAACAGTGCTTAGAACAGTGCACACACTACATAGCTAATTTTCATATAGTGTTTACTGTTGGAATTATTTTGATCAATCAAAAAGAACCTATTAGGTTAAGAACATGAACTTCCCAGACAGGTGAATCTGATTAAGTTTGAATTCAACTCTAACTGGTTTATGTGCACTCTTCATTCAACAAATATGTAGTGAATGTTTGTGAAAAACACTATTCAAGGACTGAGGTTATGCCAAGGAACAAATCAGACAAAACATCTGCTCTCAGAGATTACATTCTAGTGAAAAGAGACCACAGAAAACAATTACTACTACTCATGACAACTGCTATAAAGGAAATCAACAGGGTGATCTCCATGTGGAGGGTTACTTTACACGCAGTAGGTAGGGAAGACCTCTTTCAGAAGGAACAGCTGAAAAGATCTAGCCGTGAGAGAGCAGAAGTCCAAGCAATGAGTTTGGGCAGAACAAACAGCTGGTAAAAAGCCCTGAGAAGCTGGCGTACTCAAGGAGCCTGAACAACAGAAGGGGTATAGTGCTTGAGGACTACCAATGCCAGGTGTCATCCACAGAACTAGGAATACGGGAACAGTACCTGCTCTGGAGGTATAGACACATATATGTCACAATGGTGACAGCTGTCACTAAATTACATAGTGGCTTGAAAAGACTTAAAGAGGACCAAATCTAGTCAGGTAGGATGGGAAAGAGCTCTCCAAAGCAGCTTACAATGGGGCCTAAAGAGTAAGTAAAAGTTAACTGGAAGTGGGGAGAGAGAACAACACTGTAGGCAGCAAGAACGGCACATCCAAAGGCACTGCAGAAAAGGGAGCCAGGCGAGCAATGGGAAGGGAAAGGTCCAATTAACTCCAAGGGCCAGAGTGAGAGGCAAAGTGCTACAAAATGAAGCTGGGGATGTGCAGTCTCAGCCAGCGAAAGGTCTCGTAGCTAGCTACTACAGGGTTTTAAACATTTCCAAAGGATTGCTCCAGCTGTGGGTATGTGGGGAGGAAATGAATTAATTGGAAGTTGAAGTGATTACAGAAGAGATGGTGACAGCTTGGGCTACGGTGATGATAAATAGGTAGAACTGAGACATCCTGAAGGCACAAAGTTACAAGATTTGGTAAAGGTTTAAACGTGGGAAATCAGAGGGAGAGAGAGGAGTGCCAAAGAAAATCTGTAAGGTTTCTGACTGCCAAATGCACAGAGGAACCATTCATTAAGACAGGCTCCACCGGAAGTATGTATATACGGGATGGGATTATGTTATGAGAGGTAGATTTTCAACCTGTGAGGTTTGAGGGCATCTAAAAGAAGATGTGACAAAGCAAGAGATACCAAGGCTGGGAGCTCAGAGGAAAGAGCTGGGCCAAAGACAGCCTCAGTTTCCTCATCTATAAAATCTAGCATTACATAATTGAAATGGGAATTAACTGAGCAAATACATAATATGCTTTGCTAATAGTAAGTACTTGGCTAATAGTAAGTACTCCATAAATGGTAGTTTTTATTATTGATAATGTTATAGTGGCTATCAGCTAGTTCATTACCTAGCTTCCTTCACCAAAGTTGTCAAAAAACATTGCTATTTCTAGCACCAAATTGAAACTACTTTTCCTTTTCGGTTCCCTGCTCCAGTTTCATTAGTAACGCCCATAACTCTACAATCAACTCCATATAAATCAAGTACTTATGTATAGCTGATTTGTGGCACTTTGTAACAAAAGGTAAAGCAATTTCCTTTTAGCAAAGCTGTAGTCTAGTTAAACAAGACACCCCCTATACATACACACATCCTGCAATGTACTAGAGACATCACAAAGTAACCCAAATGATTAGGTTATACAGTTTTAAAGTGTGACTGGAATGTGAACCCTAGTGTAAGTTTCAATCCTTACAAAGATCCACAGTAAGTTCTCAATAAAGTGTCTGATGATGACATGACAAATATTCCTAGTAAGAAAGTCACTTAAAACACCTCTCATTTCAACAGAATTACTATAGTAACCAAAATACCAGCTCTACTGATTGTGATTTCTAAGAGGATGGTAAGACATCTTTCCAGTGAAGACAAGTAGGAGAGGAACAAGGCTGCAGGTTTTGAGCTCCGCATGCTCACTAGGCCCACCTGTATTTGCAGGCACCTTAAATCACGAGCAACTGCAGTCTCCAACCCAGGGGCTGTAATAAAACTCAAGGATGGTCTGCAACCGTGTCTGGGCCGCCAGTACAATACCTACATGTAACTATTTCCCATTGAATTAAAATGAAACAAAATTTCAAATCCAGTTCCTCAGTCAAGCTAGCCAAATTGAAGTGTTCCACAGTTGCAGTGGCTGCCCTGTGGGACATCACAAAAGAGACTATTTCCATCACTGAGAAAGTTCTCTGGGGACCTAGTGCTGGTCTAGACGAAATTTAAAACACTTTTTAATACAACTTTTCACCAGCTTGGCAATCTGAACTTTTAACTTCACACTTGACCTCACAAAGAAAACAGAACTGGCACTATCTTGAGCTCTCATTGTTAAAATCTATGTGCCTTGTGCACAGTGATGAGCTTATCTGTTACACGAAAACCCTCTCAAATGATATGTATACATACACTGAACAGTATGTGTGGATTCAGGACCATTTTGTAATTAAAATTTTTTATATAATTTATGCAATATCGAAAATCACAAAATAAGGTTCCATTGTCCTTAGACCACTGGTGGTCTTAGAACTGGTGCTTTGCCCTGCTCAACACGGTGGGCACACGCGTCCGGGCTGTCAGGGGTAGGGTGCAGCTACCTGGGCCAGCGTTTGGAGTGGGTGTCAGGTAAGGCACCGACCCTGTGTGCTGTGCAGGTGGCACCCAAGTGTCAGGAGGACCCCTAGGACTCTGAAGGCACAGACGCACAGAGCAGTCTGGGATGGGGAGACCGTCCGGGGTATCTCCGCAAAGCTCCACGGCCACCTGTGGTCCCAGGGGAAGGGGCCAAGCCTCTGACACGGAAACACTTCCAGGGGTGGACACAGCGATGGGTGGGGTGGGGTGGGGGACGGTGGAGATCATCGGCGCCAGCAGAGGTAGGAGCTGTGACAGGTCGTGATCAGAGGCCGGGACAAGAAGAAGGGGCTGGGACCACCGCGTGCCCAGCCCAAGCCCGCCCTCTGCCCCCCAGCCCGGCGAGTTACATAACCCGGCGGGCGTCTCTCGGCGCCGGGCGAGTGGTGCAGGCGGCGAGGACAGCCCCGGCGTCCGGGGGCCGCTCTTCGCTCGCCTCGGCCGGGGGCCGGAGTCGGGCCAGGGAAGCAGCCACCGCCTCCGCCCGGCACACGCTGGACTCCTGGGCTTTCGGCTTCCGGCCCTGGCGCTCACATAACCCCAGAAACCAACACACAGACACCATAACAAAGGCGGCGACGCGGCGGCAGCCCCGGAGTAGGACGACTAGGGGACCACGGTGGGGCTGGCAGGCAGCCTACCTGCCGGGTGGAGGACACGGCCACACGTCCCGGCCGGTGCAGGCGCGGGGCAGGCGGCCGGCGGGAAGGGGGGGGGTGCTTTGAGGTGCTACTCACTCTCGTCAGGCAACTGGTCGAGCTCCGCCATCTTGAACGAGCCGCGCCGCTTTTTCAAAGGCTGCCCGCCGCGGTGCATTGTGGGGCGGAGACTGTCTTTGCGAGGGAGGTTCGAATGCAGAGCTCGCTGCCCGCGGCGCCGCGCCGAGCCGCTCCCGCCGCGGCCGGCTGAGGCGGGCTGGGCTCCGCCCGCGCCTGCCCGGGGAGGGGGTGCCGCCGAGGGGCCCGAGCCTCGCCCTGCGCCCCCGCCCTCCCCCCCCCGGAGGGAGGGCGCAGGAAGGCAGCGCGGAGAGGCCCGGCGCCCGAGCGCGCGGGGAGCGGCGCCAGCTCCCGAGTCCCGCCCGGGCCCCGCTCCGGCCCGCGCCGCCCGCCCCCTCCGGGGCTCGCTCCCGGCGCGCGTTTCGCGGCTCCCGCTGCAGCTGCGGGAACTGCAGGCTGTTTGTTCCGAGAGGAGCACGGGAGGGAAGGAGGGAGGGAGGCCGGGCGAACCGAGGCCAGGGCAGGGAGGGGCACCTGTGGGTCCGGCGGCGGGGAGGCAGCCTTAGGTTCCTGGTGGCGTCATGCGAGGGGCTCTATACTAAGAAAACATTCGCGGTCCTCCGGGCCCACGTTTCTCGGGCGCCTGCACCCTTCCCTTTTCCTGAGAGCTCAGGCCGCAGCGGGTCCAGGATGCGGGGTCCCCGCGGTCCCTGGTAAGCCGGCGCCACCTCTCCTGCAGAATGCGTGCGGCCAGGAGGGGTCGTGAAGTTGGCCGTTTGGTCCGGCAGCGGAAAGAACTGCGCTGCTCGTCTCCTTCGTCCATTGCACGTTAGAGCGCGCCGGGAGAGGCAGCTGGAGGCTTCGTGAGGATGCGGGCAGAAACCCGCAGAGCACTACGAGGCGGTAAAGCATCCGGATCCAGCTGGATGAGAATTCGTCCTGGCTCGGGAGAAGCCCCGGGGAAGATTTCACAATTCTGTCTGTAACACTGCCCATAAGCCGCTGCTGCTTTTTAACAACCTACGTGATAAATGTTACTGAGCTCCAGTCCTTTTCTCCAGGAATTCATGGGGGTGGGAGAATGGGACACTTAAGCACAGGCAAGACAAGGGTGAATTCCTGGAACTTAAAAAGCTTGAAAGTGGTGGCCTTCGATAAGAGCAGGCCCGGAGAGATCAGCCGAGGCTGGTGGTTGGACTTCGAAATAATTGGGATGGCGGGTTCCGTTGGTGTTGGGGAACAAAGTTGCCCGGAAGAGATTGGAGGTGGGGGGGAGGGATGGAGCCTGAAGATGAGTCAGGAGGAAGCTGGTGGACAAAGGACAGGCGAGAGAGGCTGTGGAGGCTTAGAGAAGCCCCAAGGCCTGGGTGGGATTCTGACTGCCCTTTGTGTAGCGCGCAGTCAAGTTTGTTTCTTACTTGTTCCTGCCTTGGTTTCTCATTTGCAAAGTGCAGTTAAAACAGGGCTGCTTTGAGGGTCACGTGAGCTGAGGGGCGGATGGAAAGCCTTACAGTAGCTCCTAGCAGGCCGCTGTTCGCTCCTACTACAACTCCGTGGCATCAGAAGGGATGGAAAGGCAGGAAAAAGGATTTGGTGAGTCAGGGAGTGAGGAAGAGGCAGCCGGCTTTGAGCCCTGGGCAAGGGCACCCCGCTGAGGCCGGAGGAGGGCAGGCTGGGCGAAAGTTTAATTTTGTGAAGTAATCCCTTCTGATCAAACTTAACCCCTTCTAAGCACATCTGAGCTGCCCTGTAAGAAGATGAACACGCTGATCCCTGTGGTCAGCACCCCGGAGCTCCACAGCGGGCGCTCTGCTATCAGTCTGGAGATAGCAAGAAAAGGTCAGTCCTCTGAGGAGGGAAGGAACCCAAGCAAACAGGAAGGAGGTCGGCAGAGTGGGAAGAGTGAGGGTCCAGGTGTCATTAAATGAAGGCAAACCGGTTTTTTTTTTTCCCAAGTTTTTACACAATAGCAGGGCTGCTGTTTAAAATGACACTTTTAGGCCCTTCTAATAATCTGCACTATAAACAAAAACGCTAAGTGATCCTTTTTCTAGCTGTATCCCAGCTGCAGATCTACCAGCTATGGTACTGGTGACCTCAACCAAAGCACTTAACTGTTTTTTTCTGTGAGGTTCTTTGTTGGATATTCATGAGAGGTTTTACGATCACTGGCTTACTTGATGCTCCCAATGATCTGGTCATTTGTCTAAGGACAGAAGCAACCAGGCTGCTGGCCCACTCTGGGCACATGGGCACTCCCTCTGCGATACAACGATGTGTCTTAGTCCATCTGTGCTGCTGTAAGATGGGGTAGTTTATAAACAACACAGGTTGCTTCCTCATGGTTTTCGAAGCTGGAAGTCCACGATCACGGGGCTGACGTTGGTGTCTGGGGAGGGCTGTCCTCTGTTGCCAAGAGGCCACCTTATTGCTACGTGCTCCGGAGGGACGAATGCCGTCTCCTCCCCTGCTGGAAAGGACTGGAGAGCAGGAGAATGCTCCTTTCCACCTCAGGCCTTTTGTAAGGGTGCTAACCTCATTCGTGAGAGAGGGCACCCAGGACTTACTCACTTCCCAAAGACCGCATCTGTTACTGCCGTTGCACTGGGGATTCAGTTTCAGCTTGAGTTTTTGGAAGGGGCGCTGTTATTCAAACCATAGCAACATGCATCACAGTGGTGTTAAATTTCCTCTAAGCACGAAGTCCAATTTAAAATGATGTGCTCATGTGTGTTATTGTTTGCTTAAGGAAAACTAAACTAAAATTTGCATAATGATACTAAGTCATGAAAAAAAACTAAGTAAAAATACACCATAAGAAGAATAAAGATGGTCACATTTTAGGCACATCAAGTTTCTTCCAGTGCTATGGCCCATGTGTCAGTTATTGATTTGATTCAGTGCCACCAGTCAAATTGCAACAATGAGACAAAATGTATATATGTGTTTAGAAAATTTATGCATGGGAATGTTTTTATAAATACTTTTGGTAAGGTCATAATTTGAGTTGGAAATGGGAAAATAAGACTATACAGCTCACTTGCTTGAGAACCTCAGCTCTTCATTCTATTAAAAAAGAAAAAAAAAAAGACATGTTGCTAATAGACCCCAGGCTCAGCACTTCGTCTCCCAGCATCTAAATATTCCAGTAATAGGAATGGCCCTAGGATCTGGGCTCAGATTTCAATTTCCCTACTTATGCTGCGTGTGGCCTTGGACAGAATACTTATTCTCCGGAGCTCTTTGCTTCCTTCTTCCTTCCTTGAAAGATGATTATGCGAATTAAATGATATAATGTAAGTGAAGTGCCTAACAAGGTCTCCAGTGAGTGTTGGTTTCCTTCCTTTAGTTTTACAGCAAATAATTGCAAACAGTGTGCCAAGTGGCTAGCCTGGTGATACTCTGCAGAATGTTCTCTCCGGGTGTGTTCTGAGCAAGAGAAAGAAGCGCCAAGAGGGAGAGCAGAGGTCATGGGTTCTGGACCTTGCTCTACCACTAGTGAGCACTGGGTTCTTGGACAAGTCTTGAATCTCTCTGCCTCAGTTCTCTGGTTGGAGGGTGTGGGCCGGGGGGTGGGGGAGGTGAAAATGAACTACCCTGTCCTACAGGGATCACAATGTAGAGGCAGATGTAGATAAAATGGAGAGAATAAAAGGTAAAATTCTCTGGGTAGGTGTTTGACTTAAGGGTTACCATGGCAGATAGGATGCCCATGTCCCATATTAGAGAGCCTGGGTTCAATAGTTGGCCACACTCCTGACTCAGCTTCCTGCTCCTGCAGACCCTGGGAGGCAGGGCTGACGGCTCAAATGATTGGTCTCCTTGCACTCACATGGGAGACCTGGAGTGAATTCATGTCTCCCAGCTTGGGCGGCACCAAGGAGAGACTGTTGCAGATATTTGAGGCGTGAACCAGCAGATGGGAGTGCTATCTCTGTTTTTCAAATACACAAAGTTTTTTAAGTAAAAATCTCAACATATGCTAGATATTATGGATGACACCACCAAAATGAGTAGAGTTTAGTATGTTACACTACTATGAATAAAATTCACAATACTATAAAATTCTTAGACTAAAACAGGTTAAATCTTCATGATCTTGGATTAGGCAACAGTTTCTTAGATATGATACAAAATTATAAGCAACTAAGGGAAATGTGAGGGGGTCATGAAAAATTTCATGGAAAATGTATAATATGAAAAACTTAAAATTATTTTACTTCAAAATAAACTAAGTTGTCATATCACGGCTAAATAAAACCTAGTTTGAGGCACTAAGAAGGATACAATATCAATTTTAAAAAGGTCCCTAACATGAATTCTGCTAAAGTTAAAACAAGAACAAACATCAAATTGATGGCGAAGCTTAGCTGGAAGAATGGTGGACTCCTTGGTGCTTTACAAAGGTTTGTGGGACAATGCTCCAGAGAAATGAGATGTTTACAGATAACTCATTTTTGTTTTTTGTTTTTTTTTAATTTAAGATTTATTTATTTGCCAGCGCTGCGGCTCAATAGGCTAATTCTCCACCTGCGGCGCTGGCACACCAGTTCTAGTCCCAATTGGGGCGCCAGATTCTGTCCCAGTTGCTCCTCTTCCAGTCCAGCTCTCTGCTGTGGCCCAGGAGTGCAGTGGAGGATGGCCCAAGTGCTTGGGCCCTGCACCCGCATGGGAGACCAGGAGAAGCACTTGGCTCCTGGCTTCAGATCAGCGCAGTGTGCCAGCCGCAGCGTGCCAGCCACAGTGGTATATTGGGGGGTGAACCAACGGCAAAGGAAGACCTTTCTCTCTGTCTCTCTCTCTCACTGTCCACTCTGCCTGTCAGAAAAAAAATTTATTTATTTATTTAAAAGGCAGAGCTAGAGAGAGGCACAGAGAGAGTCTTGCATCTGCTGGTTCACTCCCCAGATGGCCACAATGGCTGGAGCTGCACTGATCCAAATCCAGGAGCTAGGAGCTTCTTCTGGGTCTCCTATGTGATTGCAGGGGCCCAAGGACTTGGGCCATCTTCTGCTTTCCCAGGCCATAGCAGAGAGCTGGATCAGAAGTGGAGCAGCCAGGACTTGAACTGGTGCCCATATGGGATGCCAGTGCCGCAGGCAGAGGATTAACCTACTGCACCACAGTGCTGGCTCCTATTTGAATAATTTTAACAAGAGATGAAGAGGGCTTTACCAATATAATACTAAAGATGAAACACAATCAAAACAATGACCACCAGGAAGTGGAAGTGGTCCAGTGATAGCCAAGTAGGGGTTGGTGTGGTGGCACAGGGTGTTGAGCCACCACCTGGGATGTCTGCATCCCATGCTGGAGTGCCAGGTTGAATGCCAGCTATTCTTAAAACATACACACACACACATTTATTTATTTTATTTGAAAGTCAGAGTTACAAGGGGTGGGGGGTCTTCCATCCGATGGTTCACTCCCCAGTTGGCTGCAACGGCCAGAGCTGCGCCGATCCGAAGCCAGGAGCCAGGAGATTCTTCCAAGTCTCCCACATGGGTACAGGAGCCCAAGGACTTGGGCCATCTTCCACTGCCTTCCCAGGCCATAGCAGATTGCTGGATCAGAAGTAGAGCAACCGGGTCTCGAACCAGCACCCATATGGGATGCTGGCACTTAAGGCAGGGCGTTAACCCACTGCACCACAGCGCTGGCCCCGGCTATTCTGCTTTTGACTCAGCTTCTTGCAAAGGTGCGAGGGACAGCAGTAGGTGATGGCTCATGGTCTTGGGTCCCTGCTACCCATACGGGAGAACAAGCCGGAGTTCCAGGCTCCTGCCTTTGGCCTGGCTCAGCTCCTCCTTTTGCAGACATTGGGGAGTGAACCAGTGAATCTGTCTGTTCACTCTGTCTTTCAAATGCAAAGATAAATAAATAAATAAGCAATATCTTTCAAAAATCTACTGCAAACAGCACTAGAAAGATTTAATAATGGACACAGCAGTAATAAAATTCAAACAAAGTGGACCTGTTAAGAGCAAAGGTCATAGCAACAGGTTTTTTGGGGCTGCTCAAAGCATTGAGCTTTTTGACTTTCTGGAGGGCCAAAGAATGATCAAATTGTGTATTTTGAGAATGTTAACTAAAGATTTCCCAGAAAAACACCTGGAAAACTTCACCAGGAAGTCCTTCTCCACCTTGACAGTGCTCCTGCTCCTTCCTTTCATCAGAAAAGGGCAATGGTGTGCAGTTTCTTCCTTTTTTTTTTTTTTTTAAGATTTATTTATTTGAAAGTCAGAGTTACAGAGAGAGAGAGAGGTCTCCCATCTGCTGGTTCACTCTCCAATTGGCTGCAAGTGGCCGGAGCTGCACTGATCAGGAGCCAGGAGCTTCTTCCGGTCTCCCACACGGGCACGGGGCCCAAGGACTTGGGCCATCTTCCACTGCTTTCCCAGGCCATAGCAGAGAGCTGGATCGGAAGAGGAGCAGCCAGGACTCGAACCGGGGTCCACATGGGATGCCAGCATTACAGGTGACGGCTTTACCCACCACGCCACAGCGCCAGCCCCTGATGTGGAGTTTCAGTGGGAAATCATTAGGTATCCACTTTGCAATTCTGATTTAATTTCTTCCTAATTTAAAAGAATGTTGGAAGGGCACTTATTTTTCTTCAGCTGATAACGTAAAAAAGACTGCATCTGACATAGGATGGCCGACTCCAGGTCCGTATTTCCAATGCAAGAAAGAATTTGAGAATGAGGTGTACATAAAGGTAGCAGAGGAGTAAGATTTATTTGCGTGCAAAGGGAAAGTACACACTCAAGAGGGAGTGTGAGCCTGCTTGAGACTGAGCTACCTCCCAGAGGTCCAGGGGCAACCCTTCTCGTGATCTGGAGGCATGGGATGGGGTCTGAGACAGGGTTTAACTGAATACTCCTGGAGGGCAGGGTTTGTGTTCTGCCCATTTCTTTGCCCTTTAAAAAGAAATCTCAGAATGTCAGGTGCATGATGGCAGTAGGAGGGCCAGCCACGGTACTTTTATTATAATGATACTTATTATAATGTGAGTAGCTAAAGGTCTTTGAGGGAACACAGTAAGCAGCCATGTTGATTACATTTGGCTGGGGCGCTGCTTCTGAGCAGTGGTTTTGAGGAAGCTGCGCAGAGGGGGGCTGGCGAGCGCGCAGCAGGCAGGGCTGCATTGTGGTGGCGACCTCGGCTCTGCCTTGCTAGCTGCCTCCTTGCCTATGCTGCTTCAACATGTATGGATGGATTAAATGGCTGCTGAGAATTAAAGTTTCTATCTTTCATTTTTATCTTTTAATCCCATTTTCCACAAACTTTTGGGAGTCCTCTAGTAAAACTGGGACATCCTCTAAATGAAAAGCTTGTGTGCTTCAAAGGACAGCATTAAGAAAGAGAAAAAACAACCCTCAGAAAGGGAGAAAATATTTGCAATTCGTATATCTGATAAAGCACTTGTATTCAAAATATATTTGAAAAACTCATAACCTGAAAAATAACCCAATTCAAAAATAGGAAAAGGATCTAAATAGACATTTCTCCAAAGAGGACCTAATAAACCAGTGAGTATATGAAAGATTGTCCAATATCAATATTATTAGGAAAACAAAAATCAAAACCGCAACTAGACACCAATTCACACCTACCAAGATAGCTGTAATCAAAAAGATAATAGTGTTAGCAAGGATGTGGAGCAATTGGAACCCTCAGGAACTGCTGATGGGATTATAGAGTCGTGCATCTCCTACGGAAGACAGTATGGCAGTTCCTCAAAAAATTCAACATAGAAAAATTATATGATCCAGCAACTCCACTTTCTGAACAGTTGAAAACAATGACCCAAAGAGATATTTGTACATCTGTGTTTTTTATTTTTAAAGAGAGATTTATTTATTTGAAAGGCAGAGAGAGAGAGAGAGAATCTTCCATCCACTGGTTCACTCCCTAAATGGTCTCAACAGCTAGGGCTGAGCCAGGCCAAAGCCAGGAGCTGGGGACTCCATTTGGGTTTCCCACTTGGGTGGCAGGGACTCACATACTTGAGCCCTCATCTACTACTTCCCAGGCACGTTAGCAGGGAGCTGGATCAGAAGGCAGATCATCCAAGACTCAAATCGGCGCTCATATGGGATGCCAGCCTCATAGGCGGTGGCTTTGCCCACTCTGCCAGGACACCAGCCCCTGTAACAGATTCCTTTCTATGCCACTTAATGAAGATGCAAAGTCGAAGGGGCACTCAGCTGGACAATGTGAAGTGATGGCTGCAAACAAAAGACTGCCGTCCAACTTCTCTCCTCTCCACTTCATCTTTTCTGCTGCACATTTTGCTTACCAGCCTGCAAACTATGCTAGAAAGAGAAGCTGCATTTCCTGCTGGACCCATGTGGCTACAGGAAGTTGCAAACTGAATCTCTAGCAGATCCTGTTTCTTTAGAATGACTCCTAGGAGGGTCATCAAATACCTGTTTCTCCTGAGATCCAGGTAAAAGTATCATTTGGTTGAAGAGAGAGAGAGAGAGGGAGAGGAGACCATTAAGCCTATTTCCTAGGGCTGTAGTGAGAAGTAAATGAGATCACTTACGTAAAACACCTGGCTCCCATCCCAGCACATAAACCCCAGGCCCATGCTGCTTTTTCCTATGCCATTTTCCTAAATTCTACCCAGAAGGAACCAAATGCTGTTAGCTCTTTTCTGAGACATTGCTTCTAAAGACTTGGCACAATTTACAGGTCTACTCTAGGTTATTTACGGAGGTCTCTATTTTCCAATCTGCATAATGGAGCCAAGATAAGACAGAACAACATCTTGTTGAAGGAATAACAACAAGTCCTTTGTCTGCATGTCTTGGCAGAACAAACAATGGAAAAGTTATGACAGCACATCCTTTAGGAGGGAAAGTGGAGAGGAATACTCTCCCTCCCCCCAAACACTCCCCATTATTGCCCAGACTTTCCTCAATGGATTGGGGGACATCAGCTATGGGGGCACACCAGAGCAGGCTGTTCAAGGAGGACAGCTGGGGGCTGGTGTTGTGGTGTAGTGAGTTAAACCACTACCTGTGATGCCAGCATCCTATATGGATGCCACTGGTTCAGTTATGGGCTGCTCCAGCTTCCTGCTAATGCATCTGGGAAAGCTGCAGAAGATGGCCCAAGTCCTTGGGCCACTGCCACCCAGTGGGAGATCTAAATGGAGTTCCAGGCTCATGGCTTTGGCCTGGTCCAGCCCTGGCCATTGCAGCCATTTGGGAATAAACCAGCTGATAGAAGATCTCTCTGTCTTTCCCCTCTCTGCAACTCTGCCTTTCAAATCAATAAATATTTTTAAAAACAGAAACACTGGACAGCTCAATAGAAGTTGGATTTGTGGATCTGAATCCAGATTGTCCCTTTAAGATGTGTATGTATCCACGGGATGTAAAGAAACATTAAGAGTTGAATATTCATTAAGTTTGCTTTTTCTCCTTAACCCTCAGTATTTTGGGTAATTTGATAGGGTGCATTATCTGGTACTGGATTAGCAAATACTAAGCACTTACCATGTGACTGACACTAGGGTTACAAAATTCAAGGTCACGTAGTGCTTGCCTTTACAGTCTAACAGAAAGCACAGGCACACCCTATAGGCAGTCACAATAGAGCAATGACAGCTGCTGGGGACTGAGAGCTGCTGTGGGGGTGCAGAGGGGAAAATAAACATCTTGAACTCACCCATCCCTGGGTTCATGGCTGGGGGGTCTTAGAGCCTGCCTGCTCCAAGGAGAATGGTGAGGGGGTCTTCTTGTTTCTGTGGCTTCCTCAAAGGCCAAGGTGCCCTACTGGGGGGTAGCAGGTTCTGAACTCCACCAGAGGTTGGGGACAAGAAAGGTTTCCCAGGAAAGTGGCCTCTGGATGGGACTTGAAGAATGAGAAGAGGTCAGGGAGAGGACGTGGAGAGGAACGTAGTGTTGCTGGTGGTCACCTGCAAAGGTTTGGAGGCGACAGAGAACGTGGCTTTGACTCCAGGAACTTTAGGTAGTTGAGGATGGCTGGAGAATTTAAGATGAGGGGTAGCAGAAGCTATAACTAGAGAGGCAGACAGGGGCTTCACAAGGGGGTAGGGGCTTGTAGAAACCCTTCCTGTAATGGGTTTCGGTAGCCAGGGAGGTAGCCCTCAGGTGGCTGGCTGTGAGGGGTAGAGGTGGCCCATGGCCTCCACCTGCTGTCCCCTGTGACCTGCCACAGCATTCACGCCACTGTCATCCCTCTGCAGGCTGCTCCTGGCCAACACCTGAGCTGTTCAGGCCAGGCCATTTCCACCCAACCGGGCCTTCTGTCCTGGGCAGTGCTGAGCTTGTGGGCTCCTGAGTGGTATGATGTGACTGGCTGCATGTGTCCCAACAGAACTGCCTGCAACACGAGGGGCATCCCTGGCTGACACTCTGAAGCTATCAGGTGATGTCTGTGACCACCGCTCTGGGGATGCACCTTGTGTCAGCATTGTTTTACCATTTTTTCCTTGTTGGGGGCTGGTGGATTTCAACAGGGAAAGCTGGTCATGGAGTCGGAATACAGCTCACTCTAAGACATCCCACAGTGAGTCTGCTTCGGACAACCTGGCATTATATACAGATGATGAGTTGAGGCCCAGGGCCCGCCTTGCTGGCCCCAGCATTGGGAAGACAATGAAGCCCATGCCTAAGAGATCCCCAGCCCCTGTGTGGCAAAAGCCCCTGCTGTTAGCTACTGTATACCTTACCTGTAAAAAATGGGCGTGAGTGTACACTGTGGGAGCCCTGCGAGGCCTTCCAGCAAGACGACACTTAACGTAACTCAGCAAAATTAACACAGCCCCTCTCCCCCAGCCTGGCGGAGGCTTGCTCAATGCTGCAATGCAGTCGGCGGCACCTCCCCTCCCATGCCTTTCCCAGGAGACAGCCCTGCACCCTGGTCTCAGGCACGCCCCACGTGCTCCTGCTCCCTCTGTTATCCTCCAGCAGCCTTTCCGCAAATCAGTACCTGGCTTGCACACCTGGTTCTGTCCCAGCGTCTGCTTCTCAGGGACCCTGAACCGGAACACTTGTGTTAGGGGTGGTCTGGGAACGCAGGCAGTCTTCCTTACCTGGCGGCCAAGGAGAATCCCATGCTAAGTGGAATGTGCAGTGTGGAGAATGCCTGGCACCGGGGATCTGAAGAGTCCATTGGTGGTGTCCTGGGAGGGTACCCCAGCGGAGGGGAACCTCTCTGCTGGCGAGGGCTCAGGCACTGACGGATGGGGGAAGCACCGCAGAGCTGGTGGGTTATTATGAGTTGTATTGATGTCCTGTGCAGGGAAAACGAAGAAAGGAGGTCACAGATCCCTGCAAGCTAAGGGGAGAGCCAGGGGCTCCAGGAGCTCACAGGGAGGCTCCTCACACCTCCAGGAAGATTGGACACAGCTGAGGAGAAACTCAGGCCTTCACTGAGCTCCAGACAATGTTTTCAAAGATTTAGTTGAAAGTCAGAGTTACACAGAGAGAGAAGTAGAGGCAGAGAGAGAGAGAGAGGGAGGTCTTCCATCCACTGGTTCACTCCTCAATTGGCCGCAATGGCTGGAGCTGCACCGATCCGAAGCCAGGAGCCAGGAGCTTCTTCTGGTTCTCCCACGTGGGGTCAGGGGCCACAGGACTTGGGCCATCTTCTACTGCTTTCCAGGCCACAGCAGAGAGCTGGATTGGAACTGGAGCAGCTGGGAATTTGAACCAGTACCCACATGTGATGCAGGCACTGCAGGCAGCAGGTTTACCTACTACGCCACAGCACTGGCCCCTCCAGACATGTTTAAAGGCTCAATCTATGGGGGCTTGGTAGGCTAATGTCAGAGTCCTAGTTGAGAACCCCAGGAGCCCGACACATAGGAAGGAGACTTCCGGGCGCTCTCAATGGTTTGGCCCTGCAGTCTCAGAGGGTACACAGGTGTCCAGCCCTCCCCATTAAGAGCCAGCTCTTCCTCCGTGTTTGGAGACACTGTGGAGTTGTCTCGCTGACAAAACAGTGGGTTTCTACCTCCTCCGTTGGCCACTGGCCAGAGTGAGATACCAACAGAGCCTGGATGAACTTGTGGGGAACTTGATAAGCATGAAGAGATATTATACCCTCACGGAGCTTCAAAGACAATAGCCTCATGTGTACAGGGAGGACCAGGGGAGTACACCTGGGATTCGATTTTCAGAGTTGTTGACCAAGAAGACAAGAATATCCTGGCTGAGCAGGAATTTCTTATCTTGCAGATCTTTCCTTGGGACACAGGACTTGATGCCCCCTGGCAACTGTCTCAAAGGATTCTGGAGTGTAACTGAGAGTCCGGGAGAAGACAGTGATCCACGCTGACTCTTGAGTTGCCCCTGTAGCTGGGAGAGGAGGACTGGCGTGGATATATTGTACGAGGCCAGAAGACCTAGCAAGAGGACCACGTTACTAGGGAAGTTCTCACAGGACACCCCGAGGCCCACAGGACTGTGCTGGGGAGAAGGCCAGCAGTGTTGAGGGGAAGTGGAGTGGCGACTCTCCTCTTTAGCTCAGGGGAGAGGCGTCGCAGGCTGGGTTCCTTATGATTGATGGCAATGACAGCCCCGCCCCCCCCCCAGGATGTCTTAGAGGCCTAGTGGCAGCTCTTCAGCATGAGAGAGCAGGGACTGCATTTACCATAAAATCAGCAAGAATGGAAATACCCACCATGGGAGTTGGCCCACAGGGAAATTGGAGATGGGAATGGTGTCTCCAGGGACAAGATAGATGAAAAGCCAACAAGGCTTCTGCTTAAATCTATAATCCAAGGCAGGCAAGATTAGAGGACTAAGAGCCCAAGGGCAATCACCCCAGTGAAAAGCTGTGATTTCTTGCTCAGCTCCCAGACTTGAGCCAAGTTTTACATCTGAAACACGTTGATTGAAGGGATGGCCAGGACCCCAGGAGGAAGGAGTCTACCTCATGGACAAGTGCATACTGTAACGATCCCTAGCTGTTCCCTGAAGGGATCTACTTACAGATGCAAGGGACACAGGGTCCCCGTTGACGTTACCGGCCACAGACCTAAAGAGTCGAGGCTTATGGGGTGGAGGCGGGAGGTAACAAACAGAGTGCCAACCAAGCTCTGGCCTGCAATGGGTCTCCTGCGCCTGGGATGCACTTGGTGGTCATTTCCCCAGTGCCCACGTTTAGCACTCAGGCAGTTGGAATAACCCTCCCTATTGGGTCCTTGGCCTGTGGTGCAAGAACTACTGTAGTAGGGAAGGTTAACGGGGTGAGCACAGGTTTCTGAACCTCAGATTCCTGCTTCCTCCAAGAGAGTAAATCAAAAAGAAAACCAAATCCATGAGGGTAAGGATTGTGATGACTAGTGCCCCACCAGTAAGACCTGAAGGATGCTGGGTGTAGGACTTAATGTTTTAAATTAATTAGTTAATTAATTGATTTTAGAGGAAGAGAGAGAAAAAGAGAGAAAGCACTCCCATCCCAAATGCCTGCAACAGCCCGGGCTGGGCCAGGCCAAAGTCAGGAACCTGGAACTCCATCAGAGTCACTGTCATCAATGTGGGTGCCTCCAAGGGGATGCATTGGCAGGAAGCTGGAATTAGAAGCAGAGCCAGGGCCGGAGCCACGGCTCAATAGGCTAATCCTCCGCCTTGCAGTGCCGGCACACCGGGTTCTAGTCCCGGTCGGGGCACCGGATTCTGTCCCGGCTGCCCCTCTTCCAGGCCAGCTCTCTGCTGTGGCCAGGGAGTGCAGTGGAGGATGGCCCAAGTGCTTGGGCCCTGCACCCCATGGGAGACCAGGAGAAGCACGTGGCTCCTGGCTTCGGATCAGCATGGTGCGCTGGCCTTGGCGGCCATTGGAGGGTGAACCAACGGCAAAGGAAGACCTTTCTCTGTCTCTCCCTCTCTCACTGTCCACTCTACCTGTCAAAAAAAACAGAATAAAAAGAAGCAGAGCCAGGACCTGAATTCAGATACTCCAATTAGGGATGCAGGCGTCCCAGGGAGCATCCTTTTTTTTTTTTTAAAGATTTCTTTATTTATTTGAAAGTCAGAGTTACACAGAGAGAGGAGAGGCCAGAGCTGGGCTGTTCTGAAGCCAGGAGCCAGGAGCTTTTTCCAGGTCTCCCACACAGGTGCAGGGGCCCAAAGACTTGGGCCATGTTCCACTGCTTTCTCAGGCCATAACAGAGAGCTGGGGGGAAGTGGAGCAGCTGGGACTTGAACTGGCTCTCATATGGGTTGCCAGCACTGCAGGCGGTGGCTTTACCTGCAACACCACAGCACCACCCCTCTCCCCCAGGGAGTATCTTAACCACCACACCAAACACCTACTCCAGACTTTTTGAAAGTATTCTAAGCTTAATATAAAAATTGGGCCATTCTCTGCTTCTTTCCCAGGCCTATTAGCAGGGAGCTGGAACAGAAGTGGAGCAGCAGGGACTTGAACCAGCACCCAAATGGGATGCCGGCATCACAGGATAGGAACCTTAATCAATGAGTCTCTTCTGTAGGGACTGGGAAATGGGATCCAACAGAGTGGGTTTTGTCACTTTCCAGATGGTTGCCCCATAAGGTACAAAGCTGTCCTCTCTGGCTAGGTTTTCTGCCATGTAGCTAGAAAAAGCAGAAAAGGTCGGGGCACAGATAAAGGAAGGTGGGGGCTCCTGGGGAGGCGAGGTGAGAGCCCAGCAGTGTTCCCAGTGGGGCTCCCTTTCTCTCCTTCTGGATGCCTGGCTGCGCACCTGCCAGGGGCTCCTGAGGCTTACTCATCT